AAAAGTTGATGCAACATGGGGATCTCAAGAAAGAACTACTAATGACGCTCGCCCGAAATGGGACGCTCAAGAAAAAGGATCCACTTTTAGTTCTTCAAAGGTTGATGCACCATTGGGATCTCAAGAAAGAACTACAAATGACACTCGCCCGAAATGGGATACACAAGAGAAAGGATCCACTTTTAATTCTTCGAAAGTTGATGCAACATGGGGATCTCAAGAAAGAACTACAAATGACACTCGCCCGAAATGGGATACACAAGAAAAGGGATCCACTTTTAGTTCTTCAAAAGTTGATGCACCACGGGAATCTCAAGAAAGAACTACAAATGACACTCGCCCGAAATGGGATACACAAGAAAAAGGCTCCACTTCAAAAGTTGATGCACCATGGGGATCTCAAGAAAGAACTACTAATGATGCTCTTCCGAGATGGGATACGCAAGAAAAAGGATCCACTTATAGTTCTTCGAAATTCGATCCTTATGAAAAAGGATCCAATTATGAACCTTCAAAATTTGATGCGCATGATCAATCCAGCCTTACGGAGACTAACAACAAAGCTGGCATTAGATCTGCTTCCAGAGAAGTTGAAGAGCGAGGCCCCAATAATTTGGAACGTAATAATAATATACAACATAATCAAGTAAGAAATGAAAGTGAACAGAAAGATTCTTGGAATAAAAAGGACAATATAAATGAAAATGAACAAGATGAATGGAGTAAGGAGAGTAAACAAGCTCGTTCTAATTGGGGACCTAATATATACAAACCTTCAGTATATTCATGGGGTGATCAAGAGCAAGCGGTAGATAAAAATTCATTCAATAAAGATATTGAAAATTCGTCTAATCGTGGTGCGCATAATAGCCCTCATCGATCAGTAGCTCATAGCAATGAGTCGCGAGGACAGAGTCGAAGCAGATATGGGGATAATAATCGAGAAATCCCACGTGATGGTGGTAGACATGAATTCGGTCGTAATAATGATAATGATGCTAATAATTGGAAAAATGATGAAACTGGCTTCAGAAATAATGACCGAGGGGCTAACTGGAATCGAGAGGCTAATTGGAAAAATGATTCAGAAACTAGTTGGAAAAATAATAATGATCAAGAAAATAATTGGAAAAATGATAAATGGAGAAATAACGAATGGGATAATAATAGCCGGAGAAATTATGATCGAGAGACCAGTAATAACTGGGGAAATAACTATGATCGAGAAACTAATAATAACCGGAGAAATAATAACAATCGGGATTATAATAATGGCTGGAAAAATAATAATGATCGAGATTCTAATAATGGTTGGAGAAATAATGATCGAGATACTAATAATAACAGGAGAAATTATGATCGAGATACTTCTTATAATAATCGAGATAATTATAATAATCGAGATACTTATAATAATCGGAGAGGTGATCGAAGAAATAGTGGTCGAGATGCTAACTGGCAAAATAATCGAGGGAATAACTTTAGAAATGAGCCTAGTTGGAAAAATGATGGAGAGTATGATGAGCGAGAGACTAATACTAGATGGAGAGGTGATGACCGAGAGAACAATTTCAGAAATGATCAGGAGACTAATTGGCGAAATAATGAGTACAGGGATGATGTACGGGGCAGAAGTAGTCAGTCTGATAATTTTTTGAGAAAAAGTGGTAGTGATAAGTCCGAAAGCCCATACGACTCGCGAAGATTTAACAATCAAAATTTTAATTCAAGATACAATCAAGCACCACAAAATAATGATCCTAATCAAGGATGGGCAACTAATGATTTGGATGCAAAACCGTGGTGGTAAATCATTTTTAGTTTGAATACGCATATTAAAAAAAAAAATTTTATAAGAGTAATGTATAGGATATCTTTATGTTAACCATACGTAAAGTTGTTTTTGTAATTATTTGTAAAAATAAAGCTACATCATTGCAGTTAAACTTGCTTAACCCGTTTTATAGTGATTTATCGTTATTATTAGTTAAAGTTGTAATTAATAATTCAAGAGTTTTTTTTTTTTTATACATATATATCTGACATTTAATGTATTTTTTAATTTTCTTATTAGAATTTAAAATTTTATTTAGCAAGAATAATATTAGCCAAATATATACAGTATATATCTTTGAGAAATTATACATATAAGGGAGAGGGGCATTATGATGAATCGGGATTATCTCGGGATTCTGTAATCAGATGAAATTTATACCATTCGATTCTTCCCGTTGAGAGGAATTGAATTGTGTAAACTTTATCCGATTCTGATGAGATAATCCCGATTCATTATAATATACCCCTTCGTCATAATATATGTAGAATACAATGACTAAAGATATTATGAGAATCGGGGTATCTCGTGATCCAGTGATCGGGATCGGACGAAATTTACAACAGGAGAGAACGTCAACAGGGGAGAACGTCCCAAATATGGACAATGGTTACACGAATGTTGAGTGATTGTCACATGCAAATCAGCCAAT